TAATTATAATATAGTTTTATATCTAACTTATAAAATATCGAATTCCTTTATAATAAAATTATTATTTCTTACTAAAGCTTCCGGATATATAAATATATAATCTCAGACTTTTTTACAAATTTTGGCTAGCTTATTAATAAGCTCTAGTTATTTATTACTATATATAAGAGCAAATAATAAGCTAATCCCGAAACATTTTTTACTAATTAATAATATTACTTTTAGAATTCTCTAAGCTATTATTCTTCCGGAAATTATTAATATAGACCTAGCTATAACTTCAGAACTTATAATAATTATTTCAAGTTCTATAATTATAATAATTATATTTCGAAGTTATATTTTATATATAAGAAACCCGAATATTATTTATAAAAGTATATATTAGAGAAATAAGAAACTAAAAAGACTTGATTTAGAAATAGAAATATTTATTAATTTAGATCCCGAAATACTCGTAATTTTAATAAATGTTTTAGTAATATTTATATATAATATATTACTAAAGCCGAGAATAAAAAAATAATAAGAATAATAAGAATAAACTAGTAAATAATACTTTTAAGGCTTTATTAGTAGAAATAGATAAAGAAAAGAAATATTATTTAGATTCCTACTTTATTTTAATTAAAAGCTTTTTAGCTATTCTTATTATTCTTATTCTATTAATAACTATAGCTAATATTCTTATAGATAATTTTATTTCTTTTTCTCTTATATATTAGATAATAGATAAAAACTATATCTTAAAATCTATTAAATTCTTAATAGAAAATATCTAGACTTTTATAATTAATAATATATTAAGATATAATACTTATTACTTTTATAAAGTCGTAATTAATACCAGAGCCTCTAGGTACTTAATTACTAGTTCTAACTAATTTCAAGCTTTCTAATAGACTAATAATAGTATTAAACTTAATAAAACTATTAAAGATTAAGTTAATATCTAGTTTAGTATTAGATCTATAATAGTAAATATACTAATTAGATAAGTATAATTCTATATTATATTTTTAAAAACTCTATTTTTATTTAGCTTAGCTAATATAAATAAGCTAGGGATCTATTTTAATAATCTTACTAATTATCTTATTACTTTTACTAGAAAATACATATCTATAATATAATATTTCGAATACTTTTTCCTGCTTTAAAATATTATATTATAAGGCTTTATTTCCGAATTCTTTATTTATAACTCCTGCTTTCTTATAAAGGTCGAATTATAATATTTATATTATTATTTTAGTTATTTATTTATTAGTAAGCTCCGAAATATACTAGAATAAGCAGGCTATAATATTAATATAGAAGCCTTTAAATATTTTATAAAGTATTATAAGTAATACCAGAAATATAACTAATTATCCAAATAATTTAAGTTTAATCTAAGAAATAATATTAGCTTTAACTATTCTATTATTATTAATATTTTTTATATTTCCGGTAAGCTTATATTCTATATTATTAATAAAAGCACTCAATATTAAGCCGGCTAATAGCTCTAGAATATTAGTATAATATATATCTGGGATATACTTAAATAATATTAAATTAATAACTATTTAGGCCCTTCTAATTAGATTATAGTAAATACCGGAAAGCAGTTTACTAGTAAGAAGTTTATTTAGCTTATAAATACTATAGAAACTAAGATTAAGATTATTCTTATAGAAGCTTATAACTTTATTAGAATTATAAAATACTATTATAACTTAATCTAATATATTTATCTTATTATTATAGCTAAAGTTAATAGAATTAATAAAAATATTATATTTTAAATAGCTTTTAAGACTATTAATAACTTTATAGGACCTAATAGTATTATTCTAACTCTTTTAGTTTATAGTATTTTATTTCAAATAACCAAATATAATACCCTATTATTTATTATATTATAGTAATTAGTAGTATTTAAGAAAGTAATAATAGAAATTCAGAAGCTTTAAGCTAAATATTAAATTACAAATACTTTAAATACCCGAAATAGTTCTAGTATTACTAATATCTATAAACTATTTCTAAATTTGAATATTCTTATTTAATATAAAGGAAATACTAGTTAATCTAGTAATTAGGATAAACTATATAAGCTAGTAGCTATTAATAGAAAGAACTATATACTAGCTCTATTATATAATAATACTACTTTCCGTTTAACTTCTATAAAGCTCTTTTATATAAGAGATATTAAGGTTATTACTAATAGCTTTAAACCTAAACCTATTCCCGAATCTAATAATAAGGCTAAAGGTAATACAAGTATAATTTCTCCTGCTATTCCTGCTATTTTATTAAAGTATAATAAAGAATACTCTTATAAAACTCCGAATATTATAGTATTTCTATAAAATAACGAACTATATAAGAATTTCTATTAAGTTAAAATTACTAGCTTTCTAGAAAAGGATATATTTGAGGCTATTTCCAGATCTCAGATATTAAAAGAAATATATATTTTTAATTCCCGGTTCGTTAATAAGATTAAGAATAAGGATATAGAAAAAGAGCTTAAGAAGTTAAAACTAGTTATCTAAGTTTATAATAATAATAAGAAATATATAATATTAATATAATTATCTATTATCTAATATATTAGCTAAAGAATTATTCTTAATATTATTATTATAATAATAAATATTACGGAATTATATTTATATAATATCTCGCAAGCCTATATCTAATTAATAACCTTATTTAATTATAATTTCTATATTAATCTATTCTATAAACTTACTAGAGAGCTAAATCTAAAAGATAACTCTATTCTAAAGATTATAAAACTACTATATAATATACTAGAAACTGGGAACTACTAGTTTAAAACTTACTATTTCTATTATATTAATAAGCTTTCTATAAAATAGTTAACTTATAATTCTTGCCTCTTTTATAATAAGTAACTCTTCGGAATTATTAGCCTTTAAACTAATAATACCTTATTTATTAGAACTAATAATTTTATAAAGACAAAGTAACTAAAGCTTTATAAAACTAAGTTTTTGGCTAAGAAATATAAATCTCTTACTTTTAACTATAATCTCAAGTTTAATAGAGGTATTATTTATATAAATATTACTAGAATTACTTTTATATAGAAATACTAATATAAAAACCTCTAAACTATTTCTATAAAAAATACTACTATTATAAGTAGTAGAAGTACTATTTATTAAAATCTCTCTATTAAGAACTAATATATTACCTAATATACTAAAGAAATATATATTATATTAGTTTATTAACCAGAAGCTTTATATAACTTATTAATTACTATTTAAGCTATTAAATCTTCGGAAACTAATATAAAGGTATTTAATAAGTATATTTAATAACAAATTGAGAATATTATTAGAAGACTAAGATTTATAAAGCTAGTAAAGAAGTTCTTATATTTAATTATTTTTATAAATACTTTATTTATAAATAATAGAGATCTCTTTTCCTAAATCGGATATATTCTAGTTCTAGTAAATAGAACTAGATATACTAATATTATTTACTAGTTTTCTACTAAATACAAGAGAGTTACTAGAAGTATTCTAGCTTTAGAACTCTATAGTATGGCTTATAGTTTTAATATAGGTACTTTAGTTAAATTTATAATTAATAAAGTACTAGAAATGAAACTATTACTAGTTATTTATATGAATTCAAAGTTATTATATGAATGCCTTATTAAATTAGGTACTACTCGAGAGAAATGCCTAATAATTAATATAATATATCTTTACTAGGTATATAAATAATAAAAGATTATAGAAATCAAGTAGATTAAAAGAGAATTAAATCCTACTAACTTTATAATAAAATCGAAGCTATTAAATGCCCTCAAGTACCTTATTAATACGAATACTATATAATTAGATATAGAGGAATAAGTCAAATACAAATAAAGCAGGAAATAGATATATAAAAAGGAGAATATATATAGAGATTTCCTTAGTATTAGGTATCTGGGTATCTAATATCTGGGTATCTAGTATCTGAGTATCTAGTACTAGGCCGGATTAGGGAATATAGATATATGAGATAAAAGGATATTATAAGAGGAGAAGTCATATATAAAAGGCTATAGCCTTTGGTATATAACCAAAACCTTAAAAGTAATATAGATATATAGAGTATTTGAGGAATCTAGTACTAGGCCGGATTGGGGAATTTATATATAATTAGAAGGAAGTACTATTTTCTTTTTTTTGTATTTTTAGAGAGTTTCTAGTATTAGTATAGCTATTCTTTTAAGAGTTATATATATAATTACGGGATACGAGATACGGGATATAGGTAATGGGATATAGGTAATGGAATATGGGATACGGGATATAGTTATATAACCTCGCGTCCTATTAGTAACTCGACTAGTAGACTAGACCCCTTTAGGCTTAGCAGATTTAGGAATCGTATATTAATACTATAATACTGCAATCTCTACTTCTAAATAATAACTTTACTAACTTATGCAAATAGTATTTCATAACTATATAATAGTACTATGCGTTTCTAGTAAACCGATAATAGTATATAGTATATAAAAGCTTAATTAATTAAATACTAAAGAGGGATTTTTCTCTAGGACTATAGAAAAACCAGTTTTCTTATATGATTTCCGCAAGTTATATATAAAAGGCCGCAGCCTTTACTATATAACCAAAACCTCAAAACCGCCAAAACAATATGATTTTTGAAGAGTACGGCCTGCCGTACCACAGTGCTCAAGTGAGTTACTTGGGGCTTAAGGTACTTAGGTTACTCGAGTGAGTTACTTAGGTTACTTAAGCGAGTTAAGGGAGCCGAGGGTAATTAGCGCCTAAGTATAGTACTAGCCAACTAATATTAGACAGGCCCCACCCCCACTAAAACTCAGCATCTACCACCATATATAAATGACTTAATTACGCAATAACTACTAGGTCAATTGACGTACAAATTGCATTATTTTAATCGTCGTGATTCGCTCGTTTTATCGCTCAAATCACAGACTTTTTCGACTATTGAATTATCTTAATATTTTTATGCCAGCCACCAGCCGCGATATAAGCCTTCATCCTCGCCGGCATACTCGCATATAGATTATTAAACAACCCCTTATCCAATGTGTCCCACGCCGCCTGAATACAAGACTCTAGCCTCTGCCTTGCGTGTTCTGTCTCTGACTTATCCACCGCAACCTCTGGGAACATCTCATAAGTCCTCGTCTTCAGGTGCCACCAGATATGCTTAATTAGGTTGAGATCAGGGAAGTAGGCCGGCCAATTTGTAATCTGTGTAATGCCGTAAAGGGCAAACCAAGCCTGAACTGTATATACCCGGTATATAGAAGCGTTATCTTGCATAAATAAGTAACCGTTATTAAGTTATTAAAAAATGTGAGCCACTTCTGCCTCGCAGATCTCAAGGTAGGAGTTTGCGGAGTACCCATGCTTCGCCGACTCAAAATCACGGTCCATAATATAGTAATTGGACCTCCCATAGTCCTAAAAGGACCCCAGACTATGATCTTCATATTCTTGCCCGTGCTATAGGTTTGTACTATCTCTTTATGCCACTTTTGCTCCGGTGTACGGAAGCACCACTCCCCCCTTTTGCCCCGCCTCCGCTCCACAGAACACTCGTCACTCCATATAACTAATCCCCACTCCTCCTTAGTCCATCCTTCCCGCGCAAGGCACCAGGCAAGTCGTACTAACGCGTAAGCTTCCGTGAGCTCCGGGCGCCTCTTAGCTCTTTAATTGCCTATGCCATGCTTCTTAAGGATCTTCTTAATCGTTTCACGCCTGTAACCCAGCTCTAACTAATTAATGACTTGCTGGTATGTATCCTTTGGGTTTAGGCGAACGTATCGGAGGATTCGACGTTCGTTAGCATTGGTATATGATTTGCCCCTAGGCTTTCGTGGTAGGGAGTGCCTATCGGTGCGTATTTCGTCCTACTGAAGTATGTAATTGACGGTGCTGCGCGTTAATTTTAGAGCCTTTGCAATCTTAGCTATTTTAGCACCCTCAGAAGCTTTCCCTGCTACTTGACCACGCATATAAGGAGAGATCTCTGACCCCTTAGGACGATTTCCAGAGATAGAGCGCAAAGGAGTGCGTAAAGGTGGCATTTTGGCTAAGTTATATAGGAGGGTTAAAGGGGGACGGCGCGTCGCGCCGCTTAAATACGCGTTTCGGCTAATATGAGTTGGTGGTGACTGTAAGAGCGGCAAGCTCACTAACCAAAAGCGAAGTTAGAGAGAGAGAAAAGTAATCGATAATACCCCTAGACTCAGGATTTTTTTTTTCTTTCGCTCGTTCCGTTTTAGTCTCTGGACGTGAGCAGCTGTCGAGGGTGAGTAAGCTTGAGCAGAGCCTGAGCAAGCCTGAGCAAGCCTGAGCAGAGTTTGTCAAAAATTGGCGATTAGTTGCACCAACTACCGAGGCCTCTAACCCCTGTACTGCCAAAACCCCGATTTTTAATTGCATTCGACATTAGCGCTTTGAACATAGCGTATTCGCACTTTACACAGGGCTTTCATATATTGCACTTGACTTTTAGTATTACTTTAGGCATTAGAAATACTGTGTTTAATTAGGGCTAGACCCTGGAACTAATAGTATTAAGGTTTAATTATAAATCGAGAATTAATTATATATATTACTTGCTATTATTATTAGTAATAAATATACTTTAATATTAACTATTTATTATTTGCAAAGTTTGGGGGAATTAATATACTAAAAATTGCTCGGTTACTATAGTAATTTAGTGCTTTTTAGTAAGCCTCGCCTAATTTTAATTACTTCCAGAAATCGCGATTTTATATTTCTTTTATTAATAATATTACAAAAATTATTAAAACTATTAAAATAACTATAACCCTTTATAAATCTATTAAGATACCTTACCCAAGAATAAATCTAGACCTAATGCGAGCTTATATTATTCGCTAGATACGGGCCTATTATATAACTAAAGAAATCGCCCAAAATATTAAAATTACCTTTAGCTAGATAGTTTTAAAAAGAACGATTTATTAATAACTATAATTCTGGGGCATTTATAAATATATAATTACTTAAGATATACTAAATCTATATATTTAGATTACTATACTATTTAAAATAAGCTATATTAATAATAAGATAGTTATTAAGCTTTAGTATTATAAATATAATATTAATAAATTTCAAGTAATATATCTATAAAAAGAAATTAGGCTTCTATAATAAATAAATATATTTAAAAGAAAAGAAAGAAATATTTAGTTATTTAAAGTTCTATAAGAAAAGCTTAATAATAGCCGAATTAAAAGCTATAAATAAAGGCTTTTATATAATTATTTCCGAAAAAATAACTAATTAATTATTTAATATCTTTTTATTTTTTTTATTTTCTATTAATTTCTTATAATCTAATTAATTAGATTCTATATAAAAATATCTTATTTATAATATTATATATTTTTAATCTCGAAACTATTATTTAATAAATAAGAAAAATATAATTAAATAAAAGAAAATATATTATATCTAGTTCGGATTATATTTAGTTAATTAATAAATATAATAAGCTATTCCCGTTTAGTATTAATATTTATATATATATTAATATTTATTCTCGGGCTATTATTTAGGTTTATATTAGTATATTAAATTATATATTTTATTTAATAATATAATAATATCTAATTAGGCTATATTTATATATTCTTTTGGGCTAATAAAAGTAATAAGCTTTCTTTAATTATAGAGATATGTTTTTACTTCTCTTATTTTATAAATTCTTTTATTTTTTATATTTAAAACTATTTCTATTTCAGGAAAAATACTAAGAATTAATATATTAAATTCTAGTAATAAAAGCTAGAGATTTCCTAATTATTTTAGTAGTATATAAATTAGGCTTTCTTATATTACTTATTATATTACTTTTTTTAATTAAAGCTATTTGAAATCTTATTCTAGTATATATATATATAATTTAATTAATATTTACTTATAAAATTACTTTATAAAACTAGTAAATAAAGAATAATATAATTCTTAGAACTTATAGAATTAAATTATACTATTAGTATTTTATATATTTAGAATTAGAAATAAAGTTTTTAGATATATTAATTTATGAAATATATATATAATTAAAATAGATTCTATATATTAAAATTATATTTCGGGAAAACCTTTTTTCTTTTATTAATATCTGAAATAAAAGACTAAATAATATAGTTAATTTATAAATATGAATTTCTATAATAGAATTCTTAAAAATTACAAGTATTAAAATAAGATTTATATATTTGCTTTAGTTATTTAGTTTATTTTATATACTAATTTTTATAGATTTTAATAAATACCTTTTATTAGTTATATTTAATTAATATTACTAGATTCTATTTTATTATAATATTAATTTTAATACTTTAAAGCTTTTAAATATTAAAATAAATAGTAATATTCTTTTATATATTTATATATATTATATATATATTATAATATTTCTAGTTTTAGCTAAATTAGTTATTTTATATAAGAAATATAAGACAGCTATTATAGGAGGGAAACTATAATAAGATAAAAACCTATATAAAGTATACTAGAGTATAAAACGTAACTAGATAGTAAAATAATAAATCAAAAACGTAAATAGTAAAGCATAAATAGTATATAGTATATAAAGGCTTAATTAATTAAATATATATAAAGGATTATTCTCTAAGTCTATAGAAAAACCAGCTTTCTTATATGATTTCTGCAAGTTATATATAAAAGGCTATAGCCTTTACCATATAACCTAAATCTCAAAACCGCCAAAATAATATAATTCTTAATAAGTATAGCCTGCCATACTATATTTGATTCTCTATTTATTCGTGCTTATTCCCTAAATACTAAAAATAATAGAAAATTCCTACTCAGAGTCCAAAATAACGAAATATTCAGGATCCTCTTCTATTAGTTAATTTAATTTCTCCTTTATATACCTAAAATAAGACTTATTACCCTTAAATAGTCTTATTTCATACTTCCGAACTTACTTAAAGATAATCCGAACTCGCTTAGCCATATTCTTATATCAAATCCAATATAGTTCTCTATATTAATTAGTATTTGCCTTTAATTATTACTCAATTTCCGTCTTTACTATAAGGTAATAAGGAGGCTTATTATAGTAAATCATATTATAAATCATACTAATATATTTTAAATAAATGGCTTCTTCGAATTTCGTATTATTTACTATATTCTTAAATTAACCTTTAGTAGGAAGAGAAAGCTCTAGATAAGAGGCTTTAATAATCTTATAGAAGACTTCATTTTTATATATTCTATTCTTAATAGTAACTAGACTTATTAGAACTATAGTAAAAGGCCTATTAAATAGTAAATTATTATTAAGCTATTTTTTAACTTATATATTATCCGAGAATTAATACTTTCTTATAATTCCAGACTTGTAAATTACCTAGCTAAAGGTATTTATTTATCTAGTTAAGTAGACCATATTTAAAGTCTTTTCTCCTACTATTTTTAGTAAATACTTGCCTAATTTCTTAGCTATTTCTGGCTCAAATTTATTAGAAATAGAAAAGTAGTTAATATCTTTAAAAAACTTCTTACTAAAGGTAATAGCCTTCTTACGGTCTATAAGGAAAATATAGCTAATATTCCGATACTTTTTATTAAGGTAGAATTTATTACTTAAAGCTTTAGTAGTAGCCAGATTCTTAGTATTGCCTTTATACTAATTATAATTAATATTTCTAGGAGCAAAGTATTAGGCTAGCTAAAAGTAAGTAATTAGGTAAATAGAATACTTATTTAATATCTCGTGAAATTCGAGCCATATTAATAAATCTACTATTAAAAGTTAAGAGGCTAAGATAAAATAGCTATTACCTAGATCTCTATATATTAATATATTATCTTTTCGGAAATAGAACTATAATATCTCTATTTCTACTATTAAGAGTTCTTAAATACCAAGCTTCTTAATTTACTTTAGGTAATTCTTCTTATAAATATGGCTATTTATATCCAGATTAGTAGTACTAGACTCAGGAATAGGAACTATAGTATTAAATTAGAACTATAAATTTGGGCGGAATTAATCAGAAATATAGTACTTATATCTATATTCCTTAATTACCTAGATTTTAAAAAAGAAATCCCGTATTTCCTTATCTATTCAAGTAACAGAAACATACTTCTTACCTTTAGTAATTTTATAAATCTTAGTAACTAGCTTTAGAGTATCCTTAATATCTCGCATATTAATAGAGAAAGTATTAGTAAATTACTAAATATATCCTATATAGGGAACTTTAAGGAATTTATTATTAATTCTATAGTATTCTCGCTTATAAATAAGTCCCAAAATACTACTATATACTTCTTTAAAAATATATTTATTTTACTAAACAAGTATTAATTTCTATTTAGCTAGTATTTTATAGGTATATTTAATACTACTATTAAGTTCTCTGAACTCAATATCCCTGGTTTTCTATTTCTTAGTTCTGGATATAGTTAAGGAAATCTTTCTAGATAATATCTTTCTCTTTAAAGTAAAAGGTTTCTTTTTGCTTTTCTTTATTTTACTAATCTTATATTTAGTCTAGTACTCGGATCTCTGCTATTTATTAGAAGTCTTAGGCTTAGCTTATTCTCTATTCTTACTAGGTTCTTCTTATCTAGTTATACTAGTTCTACTAGCTTTACTAGTAGCTTTTTTACTAGATTCTATTAAATTAGCTCTATTTTTCTTAGCTAGATCCGGTTAAGTTAAAGCTAAAATTATAATAAGGGCCTATTCTCTAGGCTTATCTCGAAAAATAGGAAAAGGCTTATTACTATAAGCTCCCTTAATTAGAATTCCGGAAGCATTAAAGATATACTATTTAGCCTTAAAATTATTAGCTAATAATAGCTTAAACTCTAATTTTCCAGATTCTGAAATAGCTTCTATATACTTGAGTGCCTTAGTAATATCTAATTTAGTAAATATACTAGTATTCTAATACTTCTTATTCTTAATATACTCTAAAGTAGCTTTATTAATTAACTAAATAGCTTTATATACTAAAGCTTTTATCTTAAAAAGAGAATATAACTTCTTATAAATATTCTTACTAAGATTATTACAGATATTATTAATATATTAGCCAAAGGCTTTACTATATAGTATAATTTCATTCTGATCCTTAGT